GCAGGTAGTTCGTCACTACTAGGATCCTGCTAGATTATTCAAACAAGGACAAAATGGGAACTTTTAAAAATATACTTAAAGTTTTCATATTTTGTATGAATGGATGCTCTGAAATTGAGAGTTCTGGTTGACAGATAAATGGTGAGAAATACCTGCCTGCCAAGAATTACCTCCCCTGTTGTGGGAATGTGCATCACCCTAAACTCTCGCACATTGATAACAAAAGCAGAAAATGCATTCCAACTGAGCAGAGAATCCATTTATTGGACACTTACTTTCTGGGCCACTGGAAGTCTTATTGAACAGGGGGTTGTGTTTTTTTTTTACAAAAGAATATGAGCCTATAGACCTATTTAAAATACAGTAAAAATAAATAAGTACACACATAAAGATTCACTACTTTATTGTCTTATGCAGTTCAGTGCATGCAACCAGGGTCTGTAACACACTGACATCATCAGTTCAAGGGGAATATATGCGCTATTGATTAATCATCACACTATAACAACGTAGATTTGGTTAGCTGGGATGAACCTGAGTCACTGTGTTTATGTCATACATGACTCTATTAGCTCCAATATCCTTTTATGCAAACCACAACGAAGTAATTTTGTTATACTGCTTATTGAGGAGTTCTCCACATCCATTACACAAAAAAGTACAAGATCAAAATAACACTCTGAAATACTATGGTTACGTTAAGCTGCACGAATAGACATGAATGTGCGCAGCAGCACCATGCTCTTACTTTGAGCTATAGGCAGGGTGGTTTGCCTGGTTACAGGTGTCCAAATGTTCAGGTGCGCTCTGAGGTCGTGGAGATAGTCTCTCATAAGCGAATGAATGCGAAATGCGTTTCTGTGCCTTTTTTCCTCCTCCTTTCTGTCAATGTGCATTTACTAGTCTGCTGTAGCACGCTGTAGCTTGCTCGGCTTTGCCATGACAACGTAAATTCAATGAACTTGTTGATTAGGCCTCAAAATAATTAAATTGAAATCCAAATAGTAAAATAAAAGAACTCAAAGTCATTCGCCAAAATATTCTTAAGAAAATTTATAAATTGTGCAAAGGGGTCCTGCAGCACCCCCAGCACCCTATTTCCCGCGGCCATGCCTACTAAAACGTGTCTTCATACATGTAAAAATCCTATTCATGTGAATTTAACTGTCCAACAAAACTCTAAATTTCAGGGCATCCATGCAAAAGAAATATGAAAACATTAAGTATATGTTTAAAAGTTCCCTTTTCACTTATATTTCAATCTGTTTTCTCTTCTGTGTGCCAGAGGGGAGGTAATTCTCCGCAGGCAAGTATTTCTTGGCATAACACCGACAGACAACAGCGCAGTGAATCCCCAGTAAAAGCTTTCTAAGGCCGTCGGGATTTCCCGCTCACTTCGTAGTCGGTGCAAGTGAATATAAAGTGTTTAAGGTTTGGTGTTAAGGTAAGGTTTTGACTTAATTACTCCACCTCTGTCAGAAGGAATGGGCCAAAAGGTGTTGCTGGAGTTGCTGCAGTCGCCAAAAAGGTTTGACCCGAATTACTTTGTTTAAAGGAAATGCTTTTAGATACTGATAAAGGAAATCTAAACTTCCAAAAGTGAGGTAAGATTTTTTTAAAGGTACAGGATTTTTTTGCACCCTTGCAGACTTTAACAACAACAGCTGAGCCTGATGAGTGCCAACTATAGACAAATAATTGTCTTTATGCTGCCATTCTAGAGATTGCGACATTAACTGAATGAAAAGAGAAGAAGTCAACCTTCAAATGATTAGAAATATTTGTTTTTCAAAAAGGGGCTTAAATGATAAATGTGTTCATTTGCACTATTAAAAAATTGCAATTTAAAAGTAGAAAACACTTATTTTTATAACCAGTAGTGTTTCCATAGTCCACTAACAACGCTGCAGCAGCTTCTCTTTGGTTTTTGCTTGAATGAATTTCAGACTCTGAATAATAAATTATAACTGATTTTTTTTTTTTTTTAACCCTGAGGGATTTGAAAGTGTTTTCTAGCGTATAGATGAGATGCAATATTTAGCAATGGTACACTGTGTGCATTGTAAATGTGTGTGTATGCATGTGTTTTTGCATATAAACAAGCTTTTCAGAAGTATATGAAATTGTTTTTTTCTCCCACGTAAATAAATTGCGTTTTGTCTTATGAGGGCTGGAAGGCGCACTGTGACTCACTAACAAAGAGGTTCTAAATGGTTCCTTCTTTTTTTTTTTTTTTCGCTTTGTTTTTGTTTCTCAATTTAATTTAATTTCAGTGTATCTGATCTGATCATTTTAGAATAATGACCTCAGCTTTGGTAAGATGGACTGTGGCGGGGTGGTTAAGGGGGAACAGCAAATGGAGAAGACAGGCGAGGTTTGCTGAAAGAATGACAACTATATCATAGAGATAAATACATTTTGAGCCCGGCCTGTTGGTGGAGCAGGTGTAAAGGAGGAGGAAGCCATGAGGAGTTTGACAGTTTCAGATGAAAGTTCAGATTTATGAAGTTGCTGCCAGATGTAACCGCTGCTTCTCCAGCTGCAGGCAGCGACCCAAAGCAGCTCAGCTGGTGATGAGGCAGCAGGTGGGAGGTGATTGCGTAAAATGTCAGACCTGGAGCTTTGCGGCAGATGATACAGAGTTCAAAGAAAAAAATCGTTAAAGCAATAAACAAGTGATGACCATACTATTTTTGTATATTTTTATTCTATGTAGGATGAATCTATAGTTTATTGCCAAGAGTATTCAAAAAGTTCGAAGTTACAGGTTAATATTCATTAGAAACGTTGTTCTAGACTCCAAAGTTCCTTTTCTGAATTCTTGGTTGCAAAATGAAAAAACAATATGGCAACTTTACTTACTATATTTCCTTTCCCTCAAGGTGTTGGATGCGATGATTCGATGTAGTGTTGCATCAATCAATTACCTGCAGCCTTACAGCAGTAATGTTACTAAGTCATTAACTAGACCTATTCTGTGTTACATTTAGCCTAATCGTTAAAAGATCAATTTAAGTATTTCTTTAAACATTAAAATTAGCAGCAATGCAGTCTGCACTGTACTGTCCCCTGTCAAAATGAGGGCTGGGTTTAACATTTCAAATGTAAAACAGAAGCGGTGAACTATTAGCCTTGGGACCACACATGGTTAGGGTTTTTCTTCCTCATTTATCAGCACTTTGTAATTTTATTGAACTAGTTTTCGTATTCTAGAGGCTGCTCATTGGAGCAGTGGATATTACTCGTGCCTTGCCGCAAGAAGGTTCTGGTTCCATTCCCGGCCCGGAGTTTGCATGTTCTCCCTGAGCATACGTGGGTTCTCTCCAGGTACTCTGGCTTCCTCCCACAGTCTAAAACCATGACTGTTAGGCTAATTTTCTTCTCTAAATTGTCCTTAGGTGTGAGTGTGTGCGTGAACGGTTGTGTGTTTTGTGTGTCTGTGTTGCCCTGCAATGGATTGGCGATCTGTCCAGGGTGTACCCAGCCTCTCGTCCAAAGACAGCTGGAGATAGGCACCAGCACCCCTCGCGACCCCGCTTGTGATAAGCGTGATGGAAAATAGATGGATTGTTTTTCGACTTTGGCATTAAATGATACATGTTTTATGTATTTTTTAGATTATTGTTGGAACATCAGTTTTTTTCCCAGGTATCAACCCCATGAACCAAATTATCTCTCTTCATGAAAGAAAAAAAAAAACAATATGTACAGGAAAAAACAGTAATGATAAGGACTCAAGTCTGTCATAATATAGAAAATGCAGAAAAAACAGTGTTGTTGTCCATATTTCATGGAATTTATCGACAACATGGGCAAAAATGAGCAGCTGCTTCTGTGGACAACCCAGAGAGCTTCTGGAAAGCATGTTTTCTGAGGACAAAGTGACAAAGCAAATGTCACTATGACAAAATTAAGAACTCAGTTCAACCATAGGTGGTGGCATTATGTCTCGTCCACATTGCAAGGGTTTAAAATTGTCAGTTGATTTTCAAAACCTGAAATGCCACACATGACAAAAACATAAATCGTAGCTTTCACTGGGGCTGTATTGAAAAAAGTTAGATTTTCCAGGTCTAATGATTGATTCTCATAACCAAACAGCAATTATTAAAATATGTACTTTCCACTGCTTTACAGCCATTTACATGTAACAGTATTATGAATATGTTTGCTGACTTCACAGTCATATACTGTAGTTCAGATAAAATATAAAAAACATTTTGAATACCAGCAATCCAATTTGAAATCAAACACGATTAGATCAGTTCAAACGAAATAGATTCTTAATCTTGAAAATCTAAATCTAAAAAATTTTCAACATTTAAATGAATACCCAGCTTTAGCTATAACTAGTTCAGAATAAATAAACTTGATAGATGAGGTAGAAACAAAGAAGATACTTTGATTTCGTCACCCTGCTTTCTGATTGACCACATGTCATATTTACAAGGCTGTGAACAAAGATATCAGTCTAACACAACCAGATTTAAGGTTGTAGGGGTCCCAACCCCTACACACCAGAGGAGCAATCACTGTAAAAAGGGCATCATTAACATATTTTTTTTATTTGTTTGTTGTTTTTCTCCCATTTGTATTGGTGTACTGTAAAAAAGCTGTATGTAATCATAAAAGATAATAATAAAAAAATGTTCAGTTTTCCAACAGGACAATGGTCATACACATACATTCAGTGTTTTTTGAGTAAATAAATGGGGTAAATATTGAGTTTATGGGCCGTTCTGCCCATGATGAGTTTATCTAAACTTCCGACTATATATATTTTAAATTTTTTAACTGTATTGATACAAACAATTGCAAATTCCCAGAGAAATCATGGAATTAGGTTGGGTTTCTGAAAAACATTTAAAGCCAGCTTTACTCTGGTTTGAAATGATAACTACATCCTCAGTTTGGTCCTTGTCAACACCCATCAGACAAATCACCACTACTTGCTGTCTGAGGATAATCTCTAGATGACTTCTTTGTCTCTCTGCTGTCAGGTAGAGGAGATCCGGGGTTTTATCGAGTCTCTGGCAGAGAAGGTTGAAGAGGTGAAGAGGAAGCACAGCGCCATCCTTGCCTCACCTAACCCCGATGAAAGTAAGGATGTTTGTCTTTTTTATTTCCTTGTGCTTAAGTCGGTGTAACACAATTTGCCCAGGGGCAGAGAGTTCAACATGGCAGAACCCCTACAGTTCTGATAAATGCTCTGTTGGATTTAAATACTTCAGTAGGTAGAGCCATATAATACAAAACTTGAGTTTTCGTCTGCACTTTCTAGTAGTTTTGCTATTTGTCTAGTTTACTAGACTTGTAAATCAATATTAAATCTAATTATTTTAAGATATTGATAATCTTTGTTTTTCCCTCCCTAATATGGAGAGCAAACATTCAAAAAGTTTTAACTTGAGGTATTTATATACACAGTTAGCTGGGGGGCTCACCTGCTCCTCTCTTGATTCAAATGACTGTCTTGATTTTATGCCTTTGCAGAGCTGAGTGAAACCCTGATGAATGAAATTCGGATATTTGAGTACATAGTGTTGGAACAGGAATGCTTTATCAAATGTTAAAGGACTGGGGTTGAACACCCCTAGCTGATTTTTCACTTTTTTAACCTGGCATTTGCTACTTCTAGGATTAAGCAAGCAAAGTTCAGTTGTTTCAAAGTTGTATTTAAACCATGTAGTTATTATTTATCATAAAACCTGGTGGCTTTCATATGTCGTTTATCTGATTTATAAAAGAAGCAAAGTGACTCCTAATAGGGGCAGTTTCTTTTGAACTAAAGGAAGAAAGTGACTCTATCTTTTAGAATAATGAGAGAAAAGAAGGATTTGTTGAAAAGCAGAAATCCTTTTGAAGCTGAAGTCCATCAGAGGCCTTGAAGATCCTTAGAGCTGTCTCATCCACCTGTCAGCTCCCTCTGTACTTTTGAAAAATATAATATCTCATTTTACTCTCTTGTTTTTCCATTTTTCTCAAATGTTCAGCTTTCCAGTCTGTCTGCTGTCTTCTCATTGCTCTTTTAAGACACTTTCCTCTTTGCTTTTCTTCATTCAGTGTAGGATACTTCAATCTTTTCTCTCTTCCAACCATCTTTTTCTCCTTTCTCTTCCTTTTCTGATATATGGCATGGATCTAGACCGTACTCTTAGATGGGTATTTTACATATATTAGTAAGGGCGCCAATCCAATTTTCTCCCACTGATTCCTTAGCTTCTGTCTAACTGAAAAGGCATTGATCTGTTCTCTGGAGATTAGCCCTTTAACCAGCCTGAACATGATCGTGACAGGCAGCGTGGAACCAAGCTGGCAATCAGACAAGATGTTTTATTTTTATTTTACAAACTGCTTAATGTGTGCCTGGATTTAAAGCTCAGTGTTTCTGTTTGTCTACCTGAAAGCAGAAAATACAAAGCTAGACAGCTGATAATGTGACCTTTATTCATCTAAGGCCACTTAGATTACACCTATTAATCTGAGTAGAACCTGCATCTACAGAGCCCCTTTGGTTTGAGAAAAACAGATTATATCTAAACACCTCGCACTGAATAATGCATAATGTTTGGGAGCAGAAAGAGAAAGAGCATATTTCAATCAATATGTTTCACCAAGCACAGCAATGAAAGTACTGCTGCTGAAGGTCATTTTCGGTGCTTTCCATTTGTTCATTTGATGATATTTGCTTTTGGGAGTAAAACCGCGAATAATGTGTTTATGACAATGCACAGTAGCTTTGCTTCTGCTCTAATGAAAAAACAAAGAATAGGAAAAAAAAAGCTGCAGGCCGGCATGCAAATGTGCTTTAGGTTGGATCTAAGTATGAGAACAGGGACAAACAAATTCTTTACAATTTCCACTTTAACTTGATCATTGTGTGAGACGGTTTTCCTTGTTTTCCATAAAAGATAGTTGTTTTACCATCCTGTAGGAGGCCTGGTTATTAGGACTGGGAAAACAGTCTCCAATCTGGTTCTCTAGTTATCTAGAACCAGCTCATAGATTTAGGGGAGAACTTTCAAACTGCAAAAAGACTTGAAAGCCATGACTTGAAACCGGGACCCTCAATGGTAACCACTGCATCTCCTTGTAGGCCTTTTATTCCAATGCATTTTGCAGTGGACGCAAATAAGTGTGGTTCAACTCAACCCAGTTCAGACCAAATTAAACAAGAAGAGGGATGCTGTCACATGCAGCCTCTGTGTAATATTATCATCGCCCCTGCTTTACACATCATTCCGAATCACTTTGTCCACCCCCTTTAAATGAAGCAAAGCTAATTCCCACCAGGGATTTGCAATTTATTATGTGTGCCTGCTTTTTTCCCCTGTGGGTGTCAGCGTGTTTGAAATTTGCTCAGCAGTTCTGTACAGTAGGAGTAGCATTAACAACAGAGATGGAGCAGGTAATCATTAGATCACAATGAAACTGCTTTTCCTTGAGTGCTGAACAGACCTGATATACTATAAAGAAGTTGAATTGCATTATTTATTTATTTTTATTGGCCTTGAACAACACTGTGTCTCTTTTGTTTGTTTTATGGAGCTTCTATTTTAAAGATGTCAAGAAATTAGTGGTCAAATGTTGGGGTTCATTACTCTTTGTGCAATCGGATGAGTTTTTAAACTTGGGTACACCAAATTAATAGTGAAGTTGATAAAACTGAGCAATTTGAAATCTTAAAGGAAAGCTTTGTGTCAACAACTTGAAGCTTTCTCTCTGGTTCTTTTCCTAAAAATAGATAACTCGGGACAAACTCTTTAAATAACACTTCATAACGTATATGTATTAAATAACCAGGAGAAGACAGCTGCTTACCAACCAGGCTCACTTCTTGAAAAGTGGCTCCGACAAACAGGTAGAGAAGCATTCTATACTTCAGGATGCCACATCATTATATCATACACATTTGCAGATGAGACATCCATGGCTCCAGCCTTATCAAAACAGGACACCTCTCTCATTCCATTCCCAAATCTTTGCCACGTACAGAATGAACATTATAACTGTATATAGCCGGACTGAGGAACTGTCCTAATTAGATAAACTACTGAGGAAAACATCAGTTCTGACACGCAATAGACAGCTAATATTTAGATGTAATAAACTTACACATCATCAATAATAATTATCCTAACAAAAACCTTCAAATCTGTTTGTTTGAAAAAGTCTGCAAAAGGTCTTTAATATCATTTATTTTACTGACTTGATATCAAGTTAAATTGGAAAACCATCATCTGAAAATGTATTACTTGTCTTCATTTTGCAACTGATCTTGTGATTAAATTTTGTACTGAGGTTAATCTGTAATCAGTTTTTTATTTAATATCCGGAGTAAAAGGGGGCTATACTGATTCATGTTGCTTCATTTTAAAGAGATATTTATGTTTCAAAATATGTGAAAACCTGTCTGCATATACAGAGTAGGTGTGTAGAGAAGGTGCAAATAAATTCTATGTGTTCAATTGAGCAGGGAGGGAGGGCAAACTTTTTTTTTTAATCCATGCCTCCATCAATATGTAGATCATATTATTAAAGCGATTTTTCTTTTCTTATGTGAAACTCAACTGCAGCCTCATGTTTTTTGTGTCTTTTTGGAGCATGTTAAAAGGTCAGGTGCAAACTGAACGTAAACATTTCTGTAGTTATTGTGGCATCGAAGGAGGCATTGGTGTAATGCCGAACATTGAAATCATTTTTTTCTCCCTTGGTATTCTTTAGATGGCTCTGCAGGACACATAGAAATACCCAGACCTACACACAAACAGGTTTACACTGCTTCAAAATCCTTTGAAGGGGCTGCTTAGAGGAGCAGTGGGTAGCACAGAAAATTCCCGGCCTGGGTTCTTTCTCCATGGAGTTTGTATGTTCTCCTTGAGCATGCATGGGTTCTCTCCGGGTACTCCGGGATCCTCCCATAGTCCAAAACCATGACTCGATAGGGTATAAGTGTGTGTGTGAATGGTTCTTTGTCTCTGTGTTGCCCTGCGATGGCCTGGCAACCTGTCTAAGGTGTACCCCGCCTCCCCCCCGTAGAGAGCTGAAGATAGGCACCAGCCTCCTTAACGACCCTGCTTGGGATAAGCGTGATGGAAAATGGACAGCTCCAAAATCCAGTATTACAATTTGAGTAAATTGAGTCCTTATTCTGCCTAATGGTACAACATGAATCTGAACAAAGGAGAGAGGAGGTCAAGAATAAGGACAGGTCACCAATGATCCCAGTGTAGACTGGAATCAACATGACATTTTTATTATGATCTCCATCTACATGACACCACACAGCGTCATTTTTTCTGCCACACAGAGGTGGGTAGGAAGTAGTCACATTTACTCAGTTACATTTATTTAAGTGACTTTATGTAAAGAAGATGTACTTTTAGGAATAGTTTTGCTACACTGTACTGTTAACTTTTACGGGAGTGAACAAAAAAAGATAAACGTATCACTACTTTTTGAGAAAAATTCCTGCCTACTCTTCCCATTATGAGTAATTCTACCAAATAAAAAACAGGTTTTAAACAAATATATACCAGAAGAGAGACACACCCGTACTTCTTTTGTGTCCTCAGGCCTTTTTGGATTTATTTGCTTACCGAGTCTGCCGTGTCAGTCAGTGGTAGAGTTAGAAATACACCATATTGTAATTTACCTTATTCTAACATACATTTTTATATTGGAGTTTTAAAACTGAAATTGTCATATGAAATTCTCCTTCCACATAAAATTATGATTTAATTACTGCATTTTAAATATTTTTACCTCATTCTGAAGCACCAGAATTTGCATATAACTTTATATTATGTGTAAGCGTTTATCATTTTAAAAATATTATTTCAATTGTTATGCTCATGAGTGGCAAGTAAATCAGGTACTTTGCACCTAAATAGCCTTTTTACCACTTTTTTTTTGCTCCTATTTGAGTCATTTCTTAGATGGCTACTCCTTACTTTTACTAAAGGTTTTGGGTTTTCTCTCTGCCTCTGTTGCCACACCACTTCTAGCTTGCAGTATTTTTATTGAAACTCAACACCATGCGTCTCTGTACAAACACTGGCTCAATACAGTAAATAAGTAAGAGCTTTGTAGCCAAAGCA